AGCAGTGTTGGCCTACTAAGGACTGAAACCACACTGAGGGGGATAAATATCTCCGACTCAACACCAGTCAGTCAGAACTGATGAAGCCTCTTGGATGAGAGGTGAAACGTCTTCGATCTAGAAATCCAAGTCCAGTTGATTTCCAAGGTTATTTCGGTTGCGGTCAGCAATTTGTTAGTTTGACTCTTAGTGCTCTATGGTACTCAGGAACAGGCCCATTGGTTTGTTAGGTATTTTTAGTCGGATAGATATTGGATAGATACTTTATGTATTAGAAATGTTTAGTGGAGATAGGATGTATAGTTACACTGTTAAATGCTTAGTCATGCTTATGAGTTTCTACAGGGTACATCTGGTCAAGGATAACTAGAGAGAAGAGTTGATGACTGTCAGCAGACAGGGTGTTTAATATTATTATTATGACGTGTATAACTGTAGCCTTAGCCATAATATGTTCTTATGTTTAAGCCACGACATGTTACTAGAGGTCGTGAGAATGTTTTTAGTTACACACCACTTAATCAACAGACATACACATTCACACGTTGATTTGCTTCATGTTTTGACTACTGCTATGACCAGCTGCAAAGCTGGTAACAGAGACGTCTCGGTTGACGTTTCTGTGTAGTATGGGGCTAGCCCAACCGAGGGGATATAATGTATAGGCCTGGTGGGTTCAGGGTCTTTCATCTTACATCTGCCTGTGAGCAGTTTGGAGGTGCAAGATACCTGAGTGTGTAATGTTAATTTTACCTGTGATCCTTTGAATAAATCAGCACTGTTTTGAAGTTACTTGGACTGTCTCGTCTCTCAGAGTTAGCAATGGTAATACAAACCATACCCTACAGGTTCCTACTGAACAGCTCTTTAAAGCAGCTATAATCAAAATTTCTGGGTCACAATGGATCTCATGAACACTTGTATGTTAAAGGTGCTGCTCAAAGTGACAAACCCACAGAGAATTATTACAACTCTGCAGTTACACCATTTAACTTATTATTTTTGTTTTGCTTCTTAGATTACATGCTGTTTCCATATAAATCAGTTTTCTGTGAAAAGGCTCTAACAGCTCACTATAACCTGCCCAACACCAAGCAGCAGTAATAGAAAAGTTATCAGTTAGCTGATGAACATACAGTGGGGTGCTAAAGAGCCAGATATTTCCTTCAGGGGTTGGTCAGATGACCAAAACCATTAATCTATAACTGAATGCTAATGATGTTCCATAACTGCTTAAGCTGCATTAATGGGGGTAAAGTGTTGGTTTGGTGGGTTTATTTGTTAAGTAGAATTAAGATATGATTTAAAAAGACAAGCTTGTCATGCTGGAGGAGGGTTTTTCACAACCTAAAAGTTTTTTGCTTTGTTTTTTTTTTTTTTCTTAATAGGTGTATCTTATCCAAACAATAGGCTATGGATATCTGCCAGTATCACGTCCTGTGGGATAGGTAATCTGCTTTCAGTAGCATAGCCTGTTAAACACTGATTACTGTAAAGTGTATCTGACAACTGAAATAACACCTGGAAGTTTAATCTGACATGATGGCAATTCTTCAGAAGATACTTGATCCAAGTAGGCTATTGGAAGCCCTGTTTTATTAAGTCTATAACCTTAAACTTGCCCATATGTAATGAATCAAAGATCATGTGGCTTCTGAAGTCGGTAAGGTGTGATCCTCGCCTGCTTAACCAATTTTAAAACCCACCCCTGAACCCGTCAAGTCTGACGAAGATTTTGCACTTAGGCTGCTTATCTAACAAACGATTTATTAACCAGGAAGGGAGCCAGGATAACATCTTATAAAAACATTTATCAGAGGTGCTTTAAGAGAAGGCGGCAGGCTACTAAGTGAATTTGATTAACGTGACGATCATTTTGTGTTCAACCGGCATTTTCCGTTTCTTTTTTTGTATGAGGCCGCTTTGTATAGTTACTTTGTGTTAAATGTAATGCAAGCAAAGATTTTTCTTATTGTTACATAAAATATTTGTTTTGTAACACTCACGGTTTATTTTACATATATTTTAAGCCTGGGCTGGATATGTTTCCCGGTGAGTGTGTTATTTGGTGCAGATGGTGTAGGCTATAATGGCTGCACTCGCTTCACGATTTCACAAAATGGCCAAATTCGGCGCCATATTGACTGTCCTAGAAATCTTCACACTGTGAATACTTATGTCATGCGGCCTTGTGAATCACCTTGTAAACTCGTCTCTATCGTGAATCGGTCGAGGTAGTAACACTCCGTCCACCTGTTAATGTTGTACCACATCCATTACACAGTTACAACACAGGCCTGGAAACCAAACGACCGCCCTTATAACACGGTCGCCATGACTGTGTGTTTCTGTATGCTCACGCCCAACCTGCGAAAATCATCTAGTCACGAGCGGAATTTTGCGTTTAATAGTTACAATATCGTCTATTAGCCTCTATACCGAAAAAATGCCGGGTGTTCAGGCTAGCTTGTAGCTTAATTTCTTGTGAGTCCGCAATTTATAGAATAGTTTACTGTTCAAGTCTGTATCACTAACGAATTAATGATTCGCCTCAGAAGTGTTTACAGAGCACACAGCTAGCATGTATTGGATTGTTAATTAGCATGTACCGATTTTTAAAGGGGTGGCGTGACTACAACGCGAGCTTAATCAGATGTTTGTTAACAAAGAAGCAGGACTCAAGGAGGCCATAATTGCCGGCGAGATATGTTTTTAACTGTGATGCGGTGCTAGCACGATTTTTTAACCTAGCCTTGATTCTTGTTCAGCCTGTGCTAATTGTAGAGGTGTGGGCTCATGTGCTTCGAGGTGTTAGCCTATACAGTGGTTGTAGTCGTTTATTTTAGGACAGAAACTGAGAACTCTTAAGTAGCCTAGGTTCGTGATTTTGCACATATGACTGCAACATATGGTTTCGCCAGTGATGTGGCACTAGCTTTACTATAGTCATTATTGACTATATATTGCTCTCCCGTTCAGAGGGGTCGGGGTATCGTGAGCCCGTGACAGTGGGAGAGTTAGCACTCCCAATCAGACAGCCTACCCGTATCGGTCGTCCAATGGTTATTTACCGACAATGGTGACGTCACAAGCGGCCTTGGAAAGTGTGCTTGTGAAGCTAAGACTCAGGAGGATAATAGACATCCCGGCGAAAAGGCGAGGTAAGTCATTCATGGTCTGTGTATGTTATATTGAGACGTGCTATAATGAGACTTTCACCCATAAAGGCGCTGTAAGATGATAGCGTACAGGGTCACGTTACAATTTTTATGTTCTGTTTTGTAAATGCAACCCTCTGCAGCCTCTCACCACAAAGATCAGTTCATACAAATCCACGACGATCCGAACTGAGAGGTCTGTGAGCCGGGGGGGGCGGGGGCGTTTTGACTTCCTAAGAATGCTTGTAATTGTCTTAAAATAGTTTCATTTCATTCATTTTGTCAGCTGCTTTAATAATGTGTGTATGCACAGGTAGTCAGTTGTAATTACACTTTCTTAAACGGCTATTCACATGCAGCTCTCACCTTTGCCTATACTTCTCCAACGTAAAGATAAAACATTAACCATCGCTCCCCCATATGGAACTAGGCTGCTGGACCTGGACCATGCATTTCGTGTCAAATGTTGAAGGAAAACCATAGAGATACAAGGCAAACCACAGAGACATCATGCCGGCCGGCATGGCACGGTCCCTGTACTTTTTCACTGGTGGTGCATTGTTTTTGTTTACAATAACTAAAATAACACGCTGTTACTCTCATGTTAAAACTCAAGTTTCCTTGTCAGTGAAAGCTGTCGAGTGGATCGGTTCGCGGCAAAAAATGGACAACGCGAGATTTCATTGACGCTTTCTATACCATTTACGGCGAAGGGGAGGGGAGAGGGAAGACAACGGCAGCAGCGAGGCTCTGGTGCTCGGTAGCAGTCGGCTAAAGCACGGCTCGTTGCTTTAATGTACACAGGACATGAAAAATGGTCAGATACAAGCAAAATATGTAAAGACAGTTCGATAGTAAACCCTCAGCCTTTATCCACCACAGACAGTCAGACAATAGAGGATTAGGCAACCTCCCCATTGGCCCCGTCTCATCCCAGCCCCCACCCCAAGAAGTCAGTCATGGGGCAGGGGTATGCACTAGTTTTTTGTTAAAGAGTAACCATGTGAAAATCCCCTTTTGAGAAAAAGAAAGTTTCGGAAACGTCAGCTGCATGTCAGTATGAATAATATTGAGATGGTGGTGCTGGCTCAAAGAACATGAGGTTTGACCCAGAATTTACCAAGCTATATTACAACTAAATATAATATTACAAACAAGATCACCAGCTTTAAATAAAGTATTGAATTAATAAAGTGTATAAGGTCATTTGTTTCGATTATATCAATATATGCATCCACAGTATTGACACTGAGGTAATGATCATGTCTTACTAAACATACATGCAATACAAAAGAACAAAATGTGAAACACTTCTCAACTCAACTCAACTTTATTTATATAGCGCTTTACCACAGCACAGCTGACCAAAGCACTTAACATATCATACAAATATATATATAAAAAAAACACACATAAAAAGCTATAAACAGTAATATAAACACTAACCCTACAGACATAGTCTCATTCCTGGTCAAACGCCAATGAATACAAGATAAGACTTAAAAATAGACAGTGAGGGGGCCTGCCTAATATAAAGCGGCAACGCATTCCATAGGTTTGGACCTACCATGGCAAAGTCTCTATCCCCCCCTACTTAAAGAAATCCACTGCATTTTAATCAATTAAACAAGTAAATATGGGTAAAATGTCCATGCTTCAACTGACATGGGTTGTCACTTTGTTCTGCTCTCTGCAGTGGTTTCTGGGAATGTATTAATGAGTGCCTGGGGGTGCAACTGGGTGTGTTAAGGTAAAAACAAATATAGAGGCGTGATTTTACGATAATTTGCCTCTCATTTACACACACACACACACACACACTAATGCAAGCTACTTTGCAAAGTGCTGGCCTAATAATCTAGTGCAAATGAAGGTTCAGTGTCTTGCTCAAGGACACATGATGGGCCAGGGACCGAATCACCAATGCTGCGATTGATGGCGGAATCAGAATCAGCTTTATTGGCCAGGTGTGTCGGACACATGAGGAATTTGACTCTGGTATATTGGCTCTCAATGTGCATGTAGATATCTCTATGCAAGGGGCAAGTAAACAGTAAACCAATATAAGGCTAGTATAACATAATAAGCAGTATTAACAGCAACAAACAGTGCAAACAATGCAAAATAAGCAGTATAAACAGGCAGTAAACAATGCAGACAGACAAAGGAATGCTCATTGTGAAATGAGATAAGTAGGAATACAACAGAGTGCATAAAAAATAAGGATAATCACCTTTATTGGCCAAGTATGTTACACAAAAGGAATTTGTTTTGGGTACAGAACCGAGGCAGCCATCTGCAGCGCCAACTCAACCGATGGCTCTGACCATCGGGGGGACAACTTGGGGGTTCAGTGTCTTGCCCAAGGACACTTCAACATATGGACTGCAGGCACCGAGAGTCGAACCTCCGACTCTCTGGCTGGGAGATAACTGCTCTACCCACTGAACCACGGTCGCCCCATAAATAGACTTGTATGGATCTGTATAATCTGTAAAATGTATATTTACAGGTATTGCACTGAGGGTTATCATCCAGTCATACTGTCGTGGGTCAAGGGTTCATCAGAGCGATAGCCCGGGGGAAGAAACTGTCCTTGTGCCTGGTTGTCTTGGTGCACAGTGACCTGTAATGCCATCCAGAGGGGAGGAGTTTCAACAGATTGTATCCGGGGTCTGAGGGGGTCTGCAGTGGTCCTCTCTGCCCTCCTTTTGACCCATGAGGTGTACAGGTCCTCCATGGAGGGCAGGCTCACACCAATGACCTTTTCTGCAGTCCTGACTGTCCGCTGAAGTCTGTACTTGTCCTGTTTAGTTGCTGAGCCAAACCAAACAGTGATGGAGGTGCAGAGAACAGACTCGATGATTCCTCTGTAGAACTGTATCAGCAGCTCCTGGGGCAGGTCGAACTTCCT